ATTTTGAAATCTTTACCACTTGCCTCACTCTTTTCATCTGCCTTTCTTTGGCTTTCTCTGTGTTTGTGTATAATTTTTCTGTTGTTTACTGACCTCTGGAGCAGAAATGTCATAACGTGAATCAGTAGATAGGCTGCTTACTTTGCTGACTTTACATTTTCACATTATTTGGGGGCTTTATTTTGTGAAATTTACCTTGATATGAAGGTTGTTTGTTTCAGACCTTAATTCTTAAGGTGACAAAGCTAGCTGGTAAATCTCTAAGCTTTAATTATTCGGATGAACCAATACCTCACTCTGAGATAATTGAACATGTATGGAATGAAAGGACAAGCCAATTATAGCTGATGGCACGATTTGCATCTCATGTTTAATTATCTTTCCTGTCACCATAAACACATCCGTGTGTTCGATTGTGGAGGGGTGCAAAAGGGACCAACACCACAAATATGGCAGGCTACATAAAGCTAAGCAAACCGCTTGTGGCTACGCTCTTAAAGACCAGCTGTATTTAAATGTGCATTTAGTCATCAGGCTGCCTGTTTTCTGATAGCATGCAAACACGCACACTAAAGTAAGATCGCTAACATTATAAACAGGTTAACACTGACAGCGTGAAAACGTTTATAAGCCAGTGTTAGCCTTTAGCTTGCGCAAAGTTGCCAAGCTCCTGAGTCATACTATTTAAATGCTCTTATCTGCAAAGTGGGTCACCATAAAACAAAAAATCTGGCAAAAACTAACAATTTTTATTTTAGCTATTTTGCTTTTATATATATATATATATATATATATAGATTATGGCAAGTGGTTTTGGTTCGGGGTCCTTATACCATGTGGAAAATTTAGGTATGAGAATGGTCTCTCATCGCTAACAAACAAACGTTTGGTCTCAGAAATATTAATTCATGTGAGAAAGAAAGAATATCCAAAAGGAAGAAAAACATGGAGACAGCAAGCAGCTTTTTCCCCTTGCTTACGGGTACAAAACCTCACATTATCACTATCTCTGATATATGACGAAAGTGTCAAAACAACACATCTCAGGGTCATTTATAGAAGAAGCAAATTGGAACCTTTCAGATCTGAGTGCTGAGTCATCAACAGTCATCAATCATCAGTTTAAAGAGCGGTTGAATGAAATGTGGGGGTATTTTGGGGTCTGTTAGAGCTCAGCAAGATGAGGACATGAAGTTGAGTGTTAGTGCTGTTAGCTGTGCAGGAACACGTGGACTGGATAGTTCCCACTAACATGGCATCCAACAGGTAAGCGCAGGCCTTCGGTTTGACTTTGAAGCTTCTGAAAAATTCACATTTCCATTTCCTTTAAGAGATACTGTTTGTAAAGTGTACAGTTCAAAGAGATGTCATTTATTTAAACAAAAAGATGCTAAATCATATACTGTGTGGCTATGGTACATAGCTAATTTGCCCCTAGCCATGTATATTCTTCTTCTTTCAGCGGCTCCCTTACTTTGTCTCCAAACCACTCGACCCAAGCTACACCTCTGATATATTAATTTCTAATCCTACATCTTCTGCTCACTCCTAACCAAAATCTTAACATTTTCAACTCTGCCACATCCAGCTCTGCCCCCTGTCTCCAAACCATACATCTTATCTTAAGTCTCACAACTGTCTCATAAATCTTACCTTTCATTCTTGCTGCTGTCCTTCCGTCACCAGTCACCCTTGATACTTGTCTCCACCTACTCCATCCTGCCTGCACTCTATTCTTCACCTCTCTCATGCACGGTTCATTGGTCTGGATGGTTGACCCCTTCCTCCCGAATAGTTAAACCCATCCACCTGCACTGCCTCTTCTCCTTGCACCCTCACATTTCTACCTGCCTCCCTCCCATTCGGACACACGTCCTCCTGTATTCTGTCTTGCTTCTGCCGACTTCCATTCCTCTTCATTTCTCTTCTCTCCAGAGCTTGCCTCCACTTCTCCAGGCAGTCTTCCATCTGCTCCCTACTCTTGTAAAGTGTGTACCTTATAGCTAGTGTCACAAAATCTTTCATCATTTTACCAAGAATACTGCAAGTTTACAGCCAGCTAGCAGCTACTACAGCTATACTGCTATTTTTATATACATAGGCACAGCAGTGATATCTTTAGTTGCGTGCATGTAAACTGTATGTGTGGAGAGCAAAGCCGGGGAAATTTGGTGAAATGCCATCTCAATATGTTATTGGCTATTATCTGACAAAGGCTGAGCTTTTGTTAGCTTGTTAAATGTATCTGTTTGGAAACAATGAGCAGCACACTGGCTTGGATATCCACCGGCTTCACCCATTCATACAAAAGATGAATGCAGTTACCTGGGTTGGGCATTTGAACGTTGCAAGCTTGGTGAAACCTGATGTGACCATGGTAAAATAATAACTGGAAAAACTGAACAGCCAACTCCTGGGCGTCTTTTTTGTACAATCAAAAGCTGATCAAGTTTTCTCTAACTGAGAAATGGAGGACAATTTAATGTGTGAAACACTTGAAGACCATGAACTTTTTAGGAATGGTTAACTGGGATGGAATATTGGCGTTCCATCATTTCCATTCAACCTGATTATTTGGAATCAGAGGAGTCGCCCCCTGCTGACCATTAGAAAGACTCCAGACTTTTCAGACCCAGAGGCTTTTCATCTATTATACAGTCCCTGGCTGTGCCTGAAGCATTGAGACATTGGCTGTTACCCACAAATGCTAAGTCATCAGACAGTCTCGATTTAGCTGATGGTTGCAAGTTTTCCATGAATTTCTGTACAAATTAAATTGCAGTGAATCCAGTATGCTACTGCTCTTGTGACTATATTTAAAAACAAAACAGTTTCTTTCCCCTGCCTCCACAGGTAGCTGTATTAAATATATTTATCAACGAAAATATCTAATAAACTCACTGACACAAGCTTGGCTTTAATGTGAGCTGCGCTACTTAGAGATTTTGTTTGGTGAGTAAATCCACAAAACACTGGGTGAAAATCCACATCTGACTGTCTGTCATTTACTTAACCCCAATAAAAGCTCCACGGTGGCCATGACCTTAATATGAATAGCTGCTGTATGCTCCCTGTGTTCAAGTTCGCGTGCCACCACAAGGGGATATTATTTGAGTGCAGCAGTAGATTAAGGGTGATGTGATCAACAACTGGGCTTTTGTCAAAGTCAGAAGTAATTTGTGCAAAGTGTAAACTGCTTCAAATAGACTCCAGTATGGTCATTACCAGAAGGCTATAATCATATCAAAGTGGTTTACTCGAAGCTGCAGAGCTACTCAGCTTCAGCATCTTGTTGCTGCATTTTCTGTTTGTGAGTACCAAAATGTGAGGACTCCTTGGTACTGTAATTTTTTCTGTTTTTGCCAGTAGAAAGTAGAGACTAATTTTCTCTCTTGATTGTTAAATATATGTATGTTTTCACAGAAGTAGGTAACAGATTTTCTTGCCATCAGTGATATAAGAGTGAAAAGAGAAAACTAAATTCTGCCTGTTTTAGAGAAATTCGCACTGCTGAGTGGTATGGCCACCCCCTGTTGTTTCCAGCCTGACTTTTGCACGAGTTGAAAGATGTTAATCTTCTCACTAGTAATCCTTGTTTGAATTTGAGGGATTACTAAGGTCTCAGCAGATAAAGAAGAACAACTTTGATTCGTTGTGTGTCTATCAGAAACCATACGATAGAAAGAGACATCTGTACAGCCAAAAAGCAAAAGAGAGACAGACAGAAAGCCAAAGAGAAAATGGGCTTGTATCAGTGATTCAACCCTCGCTTGCACTTATTCTTCTGTGTGTGAGTGTGTGTGTGTGTCTGCTTATGCTGAGGGGTCACTGGCCTCTCCTTTATCTGTGGCACAGTCACGCAAAACCAGTCGGAGATTGACAACATTTGGAGGATAAAGTGTCAGGACTGTGTCGTGCTGAGCTATCGGATGCAGCCTGGAGCACTCTCCATCACATTTCTTTGTGTTAACACTCAAGAAATCTGACAAATTCTCACATAGCCACATGTCACTGAAAGCAAGGCACTGGAGACTAATTATTAATGTTATCTTCCTCCCTACGGGCATGAATGGTGGTGGTGTGCTGTGCATGAGTTTAATTTATGTCCCTGCTCCTTAGCGATCATTTTGATTGGATGTCCTGTGTGCAGCAGAAGGGACAAACACGCTGTCTGTTGTTTTAGAGCCTTAGAGGAAAATTTGATGAGTGGAGTCCACGGTTCTTTTTACCCCTTTCTTGCTGCAAAAAGAGATTACATGAATGGCTGAGTCTTGTTGTGCTCAGGTCTTTGCCTTTGTACATAATCCCCTGTAATTCTCTTTGTGGCAGACCCTCTCAGTTGTCACTCATTGTTTGATGGCTTCAGGGTTGCCCTGAGAAGAGAAACGCTGATACCCAACACAGCAGAGCAGGAAAACTTTCTTTCCACAAAGACATCTGTAACGGAGGTTCTTCTCTCTTCCATTTCTCTTAAGCCTTATAGTAGGAAATACATTCAATATACTTGTATTTAGACGTGAGCCACAGCTCAATTTTCAGTTCCTCCAAAGTGTTAATCAAGTGGTCCACCCCCCATTCAGTTCATACACTACCTTGGTTTTTGTTTTGTTTTTGCTGGGAATTTTGTAATTATTCCTTTTTTAACTCCACGGATGTTTTGATGGTTTGGACTTGCCTTTAAGTCCTTATGTCATGTCTCACTCCAAAAATATCTTAATACTTACAATATGTGTATATACAATATATATTAAACTGTCGATAGAACATTTTCCGCGTTTGGCAACGAATAATCCAGCTCTTTATAGTAAGATTTTGTTGCATTACACGTAAATATTAATTTTTTTCCCGTAGTAATTGTAAACTACATGATCGCGGGGGCGGCTGTAACGCCTCTGACATCTTTCTCCCTTTGTTTCACCGGAGGTGATCGCACATGTGTGCTGCAGACTCCTGCTGAGCACTCAATGGTTGCAGGCAGTGTGCGTGTGCTGTGGGAGGAGCTAAAGTTTGGATGCTTGAAAGCGACCAGCCTTTAGTTTGTAGTAGAGGAGGCTCGTCTTCACACGCACTGAGGATGGACTTCGCCTCACGGACGAGTTAATGGACTCAATAACCTACGCTTTAAAGCGCACTTTACTGCGGATTTAGAAGATACATCGATCCACTTTTCGACAGTTGTTCCGGTGACGGTGAAGATTTCAGCTGTAACCGAAGTCTTTACACTGCAGCTCGTGGATGGTAAGGTCTTTTTGTGCCTTCCTCGTACTTTTTGTTGCCTGTCTCCACTTTAAACACCTTTAAGGAAAAGAAATGAGAGGCAGGGGGAAACAGTTTTTTAACGTTTTATTAGAGGAAAAAAATCTTTGCGGACATTTGTGCTCCGGGACACAAGTGTGAATTTCAGTTGTTTAGTTTAAGTAGTTTATTGTAAGACGGGGTCCTTAAAGGCAACTGGGATTTTTAATGTAATGGTGTAGGTTACTGTTGCATTTTAATTATTATTGTTATTATTATTTCTGTCGCTTTAAAAAATTAGTTTTCATGTTTTTCTACTTGGAGTTTACATTTTTTTGTTGCTCATCACGGTGCTGATTCATGCCCTGCACATTTTCCCTGTTCATTCCTAAAGAGAATGCTCCAAATATTAATTACTTTTGATAAAATAAAAAATAGAATTCTTTGCATTGCAGCTTTAGAAAGGGGTTTTTCGGATTGTTGTAAAAGAAGTATGTTGTATGTAGGTGTGGAGAGAGCCGCTGGACTTGGCCTCTTGTGTTTTCTGTCGCACATGTGGGTAAACAGCTGCTATTTCCATTTAACCCGATAAAACAACGAACCAGAAACCGTTCTGATGACCTGACTCTGCTTTGTTTTCACCAAACATCGGGCGAAAAGTGTTGCTTCTAAGTCTCGATCAGTCACTCATTTCTGTAAATACCACGTGGAGTCGTTTTGGAGTAGATTCTGTCCGGTTTTACACTTGCTTAATGACACCTTTCCTGTTATTCTCTTCCAAATAGCCACCTCCTCTTATCTCCTCCAGCATGTTGGAGACTGTGTTGACATACCTCCTGTATCACTTTGCATTTCTATAAACCAGACACAGTTTGACCGCAGATAAAGCATCCCATTTCCTCTGTTTTTGGTAGGGATTTCTTAGAAAAGGCGTTTTTTGTTTTTTTGTTTTTTTTTTTATCCTAAACTGCTGGATCAGATCTGGTGGTTATGATGCATGTGAGAGCAAACGACTTTCAGAGTTTAGATATTACTGATATGATTTACCAGAGTAAGACTGTAAATGACCAGTGGAGCAGTTTTCCCTTCAGGGCTGTGCTGTTCTTCGTCTCTGTGTGATATTGTATCAAGAGCTAACACTGATGGGCTCTAGCGTTTATACTGTAAACAAACTGAAGAAACGTTCCCTCTAGGAGCACATGCAGCAGCATCATAATGTGTGCTTCCCATCTTATCCTCTGTGTCTTACTCTGAAACGCATAGACACTCATGCATAAGCAGACCCCCACCCACACGTTTAAACAATCAAAACACACACACACACTCTCCACCCAGCACTCCACCCACTATAACAACTTCAGAGGAATGGTCAGCATGTGGAGAGGTTGTGGTAAACGAGTGGGAGGGCAAGTGGAGACCCAGGAGAGGAGACACTCTGTTGCTTTTAACCCTCAGAAGGTTAGTGATGTTCCATATCATGACTAGAGGGATTCGATTTGTTCAGGGCAAACTGATGGGAACTTGCGTGTTGAGAGGCCCCAGATGTGGGAACACAGTCATTTTGCTGGGCCGAAGCCAGATCGCACCCAGCGACAGGGCAGACGTTAAGCCAGCCATTGCTGCCTTTTCATCAGCCCAGTTAAGTTTGTGCAGAAGACAGAAAAGAGTTTCTCTGTCCTAAACATAAATTTGTTTAATGTGCATGGTTTGCTTTGCTGATGTTTTGCCACGTAAACATTTGGCAGTAACAGCACCTCCCTTTGAGGAATTTGTGAGAATTCTTTGAGTGTTAATGCTACACAAACTGTGAAAAGCCACACTGTGCTTTTGCACATTGGTGATAAGTTCACATTTCTTTTTAATGGTTCACATTTGCATTCACTAAAACTTGGCTCTAGACCTTTTTGCTGACTTTATCGCTGTGTCCTTGCATAGCTTCGCCTGCCATTTGCAAGGCCATTCATATTCAGTGTGACCTGCAGGTCGTGTAGAAAGGCTGGCCAGGCCCTGCAGGGGTTTTCAATGTTGGGTCAAAAGAAGACTATGAATGCAGGTGACACTTCTGAGGCTTTTTCTGATGAGCCAGAAATTCTTCAGCAAATTGGATTTTCTTCATTTATTGCTGCTTTATACTCTGGCATTGCTTTCATAAACAAATCTGGTTTTGATGGTAAAAACATGTGTTCTATCTGCATTTCACTAATTCAAGTCAGACTGCTGTCATGCCTGTTCATCTATCACATGGAGCTGGAGAATTAAAGAGATTTGTACCACTACTGACAAATGCTTCAGGTACTTGCTTAAGTCTCATGGCATTTATTATATTTGGTGTTTTTCCACTGTTTATCTTGAAGATCAAACATAGCAGACAGTGCGAATGAAGCCTCTTGAGGTCGATATAGTCCTGTAACATTTCCGTAGCAAGTCTTTGATAATTCTGTAGATGTAATCCAAGTTTGTGCTCACGCTTCTGTTATAAAAGTGAGCAGTTGCAGACCCCTGTTGAACTCTGTTTGGGGGCAGAATTGCAAAAACATGTTGGATAATACATGTCGAGCTACTCAGGTTTATTTTGAAGGACGGTTTATACCACTTGGCTGCATCTGTCTGACAAGTTCATCAGAAGTGCTCTCTGACTTCCACGAGGGTTTAACTAAGGTAGCTGTCTTTGAATGGAAACATGTTATGTAACGTGGAGCTCTCCTCCAGAGACAAATGAACGTCTTCTGCATTTTTCTTCTCTTATTTTGAAAGAAGTGTGGAGAAAAATATAAACAGTGACTTTGTAATGGAAAACAGACTTACGATGTGCCTGGAATGCTGAGATCCAGTATTTATTTATATAGTAAATTACCAGAGACCCATATTATTAGGTTATTTAAACCTCGCCTTTTCCTAAATAATGAAAAAGTGCTGTGCACTCAATAAGGAAGAAAACTCCTTTATGTGAGGACCTTTATGACCGGTATTGGTAGGTGTAAAGTGGCACAATAGGAGGAGGGGAATTGTACCATTTTGTTTTGTTTTTCTTTGTATAAGCTGTTTTTGTTTTATTTCCCGTGTTTGGATTCTTGCTTCTTTTTTTCCCCCTCACAGGAAACTGGCACGGTTTGCCATGGTTTTCAGGGTTTTCCATGAGGTCATAGCACCTGATACCAAATACTTTTTTTCAGTACCTGCTCCCCCGGTGTTCCAAGTGATCCAAACAGGTACTAAAATGTGGCGTCTTCGGTCTGCATGCCACCGATTGACTGGTCAGTAGCATCATTCCATGAGTCATGAGAGCATCTTGTATACAAAAGTTAAAACCGCCATTTTTGAAACCCAGCAACGACACATGCTTACTGCTTGCTATATCGATATACTCCAGTAGGAAATGAACCCCCTTCGTGGAACAGAAAGCCAAGGTTAACCATGAAGTTATCAGAATAACAGAAGATCCTTCTGTTGTGTACAGGCCTCTTGTTTCAACAGGTGGTGGTTACACACAAACACATACAGCAGTGCAGCAAAGGCAGTAAACATGGAGGAGCATAAAGAAACATCAACTAATGTAAACAGTGCTGAATTTAAAATATGTGCAGTATTTCTCAGATTAATGTTTCCAAACAGAAAGAAAATCTGACATGCTTTTTGTACCATAATGGGCAGAATTTGGCAGATGGTGCTCAATAAATTCACTTTAAGTGAAAAGTTAAACAAATTGGCCTACTAGTTCTTTTATGATTATAAACGTTATCTTAATGTGCTGTACAGGGCTTTGCTGTTGTTAAATTAAGATATTCAGGAGTTTTAATTTTGTTTTGAGTGGTATTAAATGGCGTTATAATGATCATTATTATTGTAGTAGTAGCCTTGTGAAAGGCAGAGGGAGGTTGTTGCAGTAAGTCCAATGACTAAATTGAGGCTAAAGAAAATATTAATGATGTCAGGATTTTATTTGTTTTTTTCCCAGGCCTTCACTCCACAGCCAAGCAATTTTTGTACACTCTTTAATTAAGAATTGATTTTGCCATTTTGTTAGCAGTCTTTTAGATCGTTTCCAATTATTTCCCTATAAATGATTATTGAACTCCAAATGCATTATGATATCATTCCCTTATTTGTTCCAAGTCTCCACTATTTTCAGTAGGACCGTTGCCCAGAGGGACAGAACTGTTGACCTTTTACTTCCTTTATTGGCTACAACTGCTGGCAAAGACAAAGACAGAGCTCACGCCTGACGATAAACAAAGCAGTACTGCTTCGGTTGTTCTTTTTGAAGTCCAGATGTTTGCTGAGAGTCAACAGCCAACTGCCTCGAAGCGGCCAACCTGACAAATGACTCGGACAAACTGTGTCATGTTTCCACTTGGAATGAGTAATGAGAACAGTTTTGTGGTCAAGCCTTTTGGTCACGGTCATCGAAGTTCTTACCTGAGCACGCTGAAGTGAGTTTGGGTCTGACGAGGTGAAGTGGAGCCTGAAACAGAATATAGTCATCTGATATGCTTTTAAATCCTATTGCTCTGCTTGTCAAATCATGTAAGGAAATGAGTCCTCACATCGGTTTAACTACGGGGATTAATCGTGCACCGCACTCCCCCACCACCACTTTGACGTGTAAGTCATGAGATGAATAGCCCAGTATGGATAGCCAATCCTTTGGATTTGATGGTGTAATTAGCAGATGAACTGTGATGCTAATACAGCATGGTCCAGACCTCAGAAAGGCCTCTGTTGTGCAATTGCATGACTCTAAACTTTCAACTCTCCTTTGTGACACCACAGAGTTTGTTCACAGTCTTGCCTGACATCGTCATCGACCCAGCAGATGAATAAGATGCTGTGGTCCGTCGTGGCCATGGGCAACTTTCACAGCACCAGTGTGCCTCACATATCTGGGCTGCAAAATCAGAGGGAGGCCACAGGCACTGGAAAACAATTGAAAGGATTTTTCCCCTCACTGCTAATGTTTTCGGACAATCATTAAACTTGGTTCTGTCAACTAAGCAGTCAAGAGC